GATAGCTGGTTTTAGTACTGTGCCTGTCGCCAGTTCTAGCGCCACAGTTGGACCTAACCTCGACTGGCTGGACGAGCAACGGGATATGGATCGTTTGCTAGCGCCAAGGCTAGGTAACGACTCGCCCGACGGGGGTGCTTTTCTGCAATTCTCGGATGATATTCCACAAGACGGGAAAGCTTGGTGGGAGGACGAGTTACCGGATCTCTAGATACAAAATGCTGTACTATCGAAAGAAACTGAATATAGCATGATGACCGGGTCTGACCGGTCGACATAAGTTGTGCTGCGATGTCACAGAGTCACACCATTAATGTCTTTCCGTTACAGAGAACATCCGGACGCTCACATTCTTTATCAGGACCCTCTCAGAACACCTCTACAAGACACCTCCAGGTGGTTTTGAATCTTAGGTAGACATCCGATGGCCTGGAGCCCACCCGTGACAGGCTGAGAGTCATGTCACACTAGACATACTGATATCAGGCACAACACATTGTATATGCTAGTACTGAGGCTAGTACTGAGAGACTATCGACAATAATGCAGACACAGACACAGACAGGCGCACCAAGACTGATCTATTACAAGTCCGCGAAAAAGCGCGCTGTTGTCTGCCTGAAAAAGCGCGCTGACTCAGAAAAGCGCGCCGAATAATAAATGTGCAGACGGAACGCCATACATCATACGAGTGCAACCGCGGCATCTTCCAAAATAAGCAAACGCGCCCACTCTACGGGCCTCGGCGTTGTCGGTCTGTATCAGATAGCTTGAATATAACCTGGTATAAGCAGCGACTCAAAATCGGTCATTATAGTGTGATCTTCGGGACAGAAACTCTCCGGAGGCAAACGGACGGTCATGTCGTGAGAACACTCTGAGAAATGCGGGTGGGCACGCGAGTAATCCAAACCGACCCCTAGTACACTTTCGCTCTATGCTGGGCTTTCGCGTCAAGTACAACACCAGACACGCCAGACGACCCGTCCGAACGAGTTCGGAATTTGTTGCGAACGCTCGGAGATGTCTACAAACAGTTCTGTGTGAGGAACCCTTCAAGGTCCTTTTCCTTGGTCGCGATGAATTCTCTTGTCTTGTTCTAGAGCAGTTACACAAGGCGAAAGGTGCGTCAGTCTGTCCTCAATGCTACTGGCATGAATTTTGACAGACGTGGATGCGTGTGATTATAGACGTATGGCAAGAGTTAGAAATTGTCACCCAGCCAGATGAAAAAGTTGGCCGTCGTGGATCGCAGCTATCTGTCTGTACGGCTCTCCTGCTGAAATTCGCACGACTGAGTGCTCATTGAATTCTCAAGCACCCTTGAAGGTACTCGGTCAAGAACTCGACCTGTCAATTCATACCATCCCACACAAGCGAACCGACTTCAAGCACTGGCAGGTTAGTACCCTTTCGCAGGATTGGTTGCTTACGTTCTGACGCAGGTATCAGCCTCCAGCTCCCTTTCTCAACCCGCATCCCTCCCACCTGATTGTGACGGCATCCTTTGGGCGGATTCTCCCGAAGTCTTTACTCGGTCTCTTCTGTCCCTCCAGAAGACTTAACGTCCACCCGTCACTACTACCCTTGTACCGCGGTGCCGCGCCAATACAACACACCCTGATGGATGGACGACGAGAGACAGGTGTCTGTGTGATTGAGATGATGGAGAAGAGTAAAGGTATTGATGCCGGGGAGATATGGGGGCGGCGAGAGATGGTGAGAGCTCTCCTTTATCCGGAGGGTACATCTGTGACCCACGGATGTTGTAGTCTGTACCGGAGGATGCGACTTTCTCCTCGCTCCGAGATACTCTGGCTCGCCAAGGTGGGGATCTGCTGGTCTCAGTCTTGCGTGACATGCTGTCTGGCACGGTATGGGACCCGCTGCACTCTTATTATAATATTCACTTGGGATGTGTTCGCAGGCCGTCGCTAGGCCTCAACCTCTCCTCACCTCCGACTCTGGCATCCCCAGAGCGCCGATGATCACCCTCGAAGACGCTATTGTCGATTTTACAACTATGACAGCTCAGGGTGTCGTAAGGAGGCACAGAGCCATATCCCACCAAGTATGTCCGCTCAAAATATATCATTGGACCCGATCTTCACGATGTCCTTCCTGTTCCATTAGAAACCCCTCACGACGTACTTACCTAACTCGAAGACGCTGCAGCTCCATGCTCTGTCTATACATCCACCCCCACAAGTGCCTTCCACGTTACCATCGGAAGCGGGGGCAGCTATATACGATTCTCACTCGCGGTCTATCTTAATCCGGTGTGCGGGCGATACTGTACTCAGTACCGGCAAGGTGAAGCAGCAGGACCGTGTCATGCTGGACGCGAAGGAGTGGTGGAATGGGTGGAAGAGCTTCTGTGGGGGTGAGTGGCGCGGTTACGTCGTCTTTCAACGAGGACCGTGAAGATGAAAATGTTATACTTGTGGAATTGGGATTTGCTGCTCAACGTTCCACGTGAGTTTACGGGTAGTGTTGCAGGGAGTCCTCTTCCACGACTCGTCGCATAACTCCAGTATGATGTAAGTCTGCACTGCGACACCCGAAGCGCAGAGTTGATATAGTCTCTGCTTTTATGTTATTCGGGGAGCTACAGTGCAAAATATGATAAGGGAACCTTCTGTATAACCTACCTTACAAACAACTTCCTAGAGACGCAAGGTCATCATTGAGCCTTGCTCGCAGTCCCCCTGGGCTGTAGTTCACGCTCAATGTTTGTAGTCAATCAACATTAGACGAGATTATATTTCCGCAGTGCAGTGAGCGACAATGTAAACCCAGTATAGTCCTCTGCCGAAAGGCAATTATCCTCCGACTAACGAATAACTACCCAATCTTCCAACGATGCGGAAAAGAGCAGCTAAAGTTTCCGAACACTATCCGATAAGTCCAGGAATTGTTTCCGATGGAAGAATATCATACCTCGACTGTCATTGACGATGAGTTCACAGGCTGACGGGCATGCAGCCGATGGAGACAACACCACCGTGCGAGTTGTCCTCGCAGCAGACAGGCTGAGCGGAGCTAAGGGTCATTCAGTCAGCGTGGTTCTTACTCTTGCCAACTGAGTCTACTCACCAAGACGCGCCTTCACCACCGCCAATGACGCTGATCGGCGAGCAAGTGATGCCGACATTAGCGTTCACGTCCTGGAGGACAATGCCGAGGAGACCCAAGAGGGTCGCGACGCCGGGGGCGTCCGCTTTCTGGACGGAGTTGCAGCACTGGACGGGGCCGGTGTTGCATGAACCAGAAGTATTGGCGGCCGCAAGGGTAGCGAAGGTAGCGAATGCGGCGAGCTTGGCGAAGAACATCGTTGGCAGTAGGGCGGTTATTGATTAGTAGTGAGGATGTGGTGAGACTGGAGAACTTGGAACGTCCGGGACGATGGGAGTATCATTGGGTCAGCGGAGGGTTTTATAGGTTTTTTTGGAGGCCCGTGCGCAGGGCCGTCCTAGTGCCCAGAGCCTCCGTGCATGCTCGCTCCGAAGTCGAGACCAATGATGTGGTGCGCCGGTGAAGAGAGCGGGGTTACATACGTACACGAAATCCAAGGCGCGGGACCCACTGGTCTCAAACACAGAGCAAAGAAGCGCAGGGTGAGGACGGATTTGTATATAGCGGTCCTTGACCACACCGCGTCGGTGAGCAATAATTTCAACTAATTTGTACCTTCACCATTCCTGCTGCGCGTAGGACTCTTCATGCTATCCACTGTCCGTGTGCAAGGTAAGTAGCCTGAATATGCCCCAAGTCCTAGCTGAAGGCTGAAATTTGCTTGTAATTCGAAGTTCGAACCACGATCCGAGTCAATGAATTTTAATTATGAAGGTGAAGTGACTTACGTGCTGGACGTTCCTGGAGACGGCGGGGTTCTGGCGTGAAACATCAAGCAATAGAGTTTTGCGTTTAGGCATGTCAGTCCATCGATCGTCAGGGTCTCCTTACGAGAACAGACGGCTGTCGACTGCCGTCGACGGGCTGGGTCGATTCCGAGTCTGCGATGCCTCAGGCTTTGGATGTGGCCCCCTCATAAAGGATATGCCACAATATTGTCCTCCAGTCGTCGTCCGCGACCGGCTGTCTATTCCACAGCTACAAGACATGTAGCGGTTGAACAAACGTACTTAGCATGTAGTCACCTTTCGAGGAGCGGTCAGCGGCGAAAGAGAATGTGTAAGGACGCGTACGTACAAACCCCATATGGCAATTGATCGTCACGGTCGTCGCGTCTGATTGGCTGAAGGGTCGTTTCGGCGTTGTGGCGCGCTGGTGTCCTCGACGTCGCCCAATACAACGCCGCCGGCGCCGCGTACGACTGCCGCCATGTTCTCCTCGTCGGTCCAGCCCGGCATAGTCTCTCTGTTCTCCTCGACATCTAGCGATCCTCTGGCGCTCTTTTCCACTCATATAGACGCACAGCTGCCGTCCGATTCCTTCATCCATTTACTGAACGACTCCAAGAACGAGCCGGCACCGGCACCTCCAGCTAGTCTAATCGAGGCAGCCCCGACGAGCGGGGAAGGCGAAGGGAAAGGGTACGAACTGTGCCAGAAAGTATTGCATCTACAGAGTCCTACAATTCGGAAGACGTATATCCGATGTCCGCGTGATAAACGCAGGGGAAGCCTGCGATTGAAACATCCTTGGATGCATATACAAGTACGGGATATGGGACGCGAATGGAGCTTTGAGGTGGGCGTGGTCGATAGAGGCGGAAGAGAGGGTATAATTCGCTGCTCGACGTTTCAGGTCAGTCCATCCGTTTTATACCTTCGCTCGATATTACTTGTCTGTTTTCCAATGACTCATGGAAGATATTGTGAGGATACATGTTATGGTCTTTTGGCGTGTGTGCTATGTTTATTGAATGTCCTACCACTGCAGAAATCGCCCCGCCTGACCCTATCCTCCCCACCTCTCCTACACCTCCCGCTCTCCTTCCCCCCTCCTTCTCCGTCTAAACTAACCACATGGTCGACCGTCGCCCTAAATCTACCCTCCCTCCTTTCCCACTTCACATCAACGACTCTTCTCCAGGCTGCCCACCGCAAATCTGACGAGCAAGGTAGCGGCGGCACGTTACCCAGCGGCTCATACTCGCACGTCTCATACGTGAAGGTATACGCGACTTGCCGCCTGCGTAGGATCTGGTTCAGCGAGACCATGACGGGCTCTGGGCAGAGCGCGCCTTGGGAGTTCCAGTTGTACGCGGCCGAGTGACGGGCTAGTGCTGTACGGCGACTACACCACGGTAGTCCGCCCGATGCTCCATGAATTGTATCGCGTGGCTGGAAGCGTCCGGTTCCCTCCAGTTCTGCCTTGCATATTCATTTGCTACTAGGCCTATGCAACCTTCCAATTTGTCTGTTTTACACTGTCCCGAGTACTTAATAGCACATGTATAGTACCTGGTCCTCCAAATGAACTGCCATATTGCTACCAATACACGTCAGCCAATTCATCTAATTACTTACAGTCCGGAAGCGCGCGCCTCTAACAACGCAGGTTCCCTAACACTGGATATCAGCAATCGTTCGGTGCTCTCCGTCACTCACTGGGCCTATGAGGGCCCAAAAGCAAGGTTATGGCCGGACATCAGGTCACTTATATACTGGTCGAGTGATCTCGCAACCATGGACACAGGGGAATCAGCCTATGCCAGACCTCAGCTCCTTGAAGAGTCACCGACGATATATCAACACGGCACTCACTGCCTGCCATCGCAGTTCGCATGGCGTTGAAATATGAGACAGTCCATGGGTGGGATATATCCGGGGCAAAGAAACTCGACGACGTCGCTCTAGCCGTCGTCACTGACACAGGCGTGATGCAGCTGGTACTTCGTTCCTTGGCACTTGGTCGCGCGTTTAATCTTATTCCGTGTCAGTGTTCAGTCGATTAGGTGTGTGGTCTTGGGGACTCACAGTGCCAAGTAAGAGTTTACGTAGACTGGTAGTATAAGAGGGTATCGTTATCCAATGAGCAGTGCGAGGATGAGATGTCAAAAGAGGTGACCGCTTACCCTTGATCAGCACGATGTTCACGGCGAATACAATCAAGGTATTAGGCAGGATGGCTAACTGCCGAACAAAATAACGTTTGGGAGCTACACAAGCGAGCGACCGTCGCGATAACGCACCGTAGCAATTTCCAGCAATGCCCCAGCTCTAACATATGAATATCGGCGTGAACACGGGCAACACCTTTCTCAGAAACGCAGGATTCCTCACACTGTGAGCAATCCGTTTCTGACGGAAGTCATAGCAATGTCCCTTATCCAGGAGTTCCTTCTGTGGAGTATGTACATCAGCCCGGGGTGAGAGGACGCTCAGGGTGAGACCTACCTCGAAGAACCCGTCTGCCTTCTCATGAGGGAAAGGCACAGTATCAGAGAAATCATGAAGTCCACACACGTGGCGGTCGCTGTCGACATGTAGATGACCCACTATTCCAAGCAGGATGTCTTAGTACAGTGAACCTGGGATTGATGTCATGATGCATACATGGACTTTATTGATCTGAGGGATCGACTGGACAGAGTATCTAGAATGAGTTGAGTTACGGTCACGACCAGGAAGCAGGCATACTGGTGCTTACACAGCCCATATTACAGCTTGAACGAAATGAGAAGCGGTTCATCATACTGCGCTTAACGTATCATGATCCACGGGAATGAACTCACTGACAGTTGCAGCTGGAGACATCGGATGGTTAGCTGAGTATGAACGAGATAATCAATCGACTGGGGGCATACCATAAGTCAACAGCAACAGGACGACCTGAAATGAAGATCAGCTTCCCAATCATCATGTGCATTCGCCCTCGGACGCACCAAGATCCATTGCACACGACGTGTTTCGTTGGAAAGGACATCACAAACTGCAATAGTCAAATCAGTGAAGATTTTGCGCAGACTGTTGCAGATCTTACTTCGCCATATCTGGAAAATATACAGGCTGCAAATATTCAGTTTACTGATTGCACTATCTGACGAACCAAGAGGCGCACCTTTGCACTGAGATGATCGCAATGCACTATCAAGCCGTATGCAGGCCTAACAGTTAAATCTTGGTGGAGATGATTATTGAAGATAGAGACTTACGCCAATAGCTATTTCGAGCTGACATGGGTAAGCGCCGGCTCGGGGCAGGAGTAATCAAGACAATGCACACCTTGAGGCTCCAGATAATGTCCAGCACTATCGTACGACGATTTGTGATCAGGTAGTGGTACACCCCGTGAGCGACCAGGGCGAGATGGAATGCATCTAAGAGCCTGCCGCACCACTCAGAGTATTGCATTGCGACTGATGTAAACGGGCCCACCACAATTCTACTACCTGTAGAGCCACCCGGGATGAGAAGCTAGAGGAGGGAACACAAGGATATACTCACGGCTAATTTGTGGAGTATGAGGTCGCGAGGATACGACCTGGAGTAAGTCAGAACCTGTAAGTTTGTGATACCCCATAATCTAGGAGTGTTTGGCGAGTTCAGAAAGGGTGATAAGACAAGTGGCCGGAACACATACGCCGCGGATATCGTCAGGCCGACAAGGAGCGCACCGTATGTGTCGTCGTAGAACGTCATACCGGATGCAGGTAAGCGAAGAAAGGGACAGATTCAGGTAGGAGCGCTCAAGGTACAGGCGTCGGATTCAAGCATATGAATAGCTGCTGTCACTCGATTTATAGCATGATCGTCCTGATCTGTTGTGGGGCAAAGGAAATCATGGGTATTCTCACCAGGTAGGGAACTACGAACTCCGGTGATTTACTGTCGCAATGTTGGACAGTCACCTCGCCACGACGGTCTTTCCGGACGCTCAGCCCGACCACGAAGGGTAAGATCGCAGGTTGTATTGGCGGCGGTATACCAGGGTGCTTTATCCGCTGAGGCAGTGCTTAAATGGCAACCACCAGGTAGTGAAAGGCAGGACGATATACCCTGCATCTTCCACCGGGTCCACGAAGGGTCACCAGAACGTCCATCACAACCTACGGAATAGAAGGTTCGGAGGATGACCGTACCGGTAGACCTAGGAAGGCGGACCGGGAGCACATGCAGAAGACGCCAGAACTCTTGAGTTTGGCATCCGCCGAGCGAGCTTCCCTCCGGCCAGTTCCAGTAGCTCGTGACCCCATCGTGATCGCAAGTAATACGGCGCCGACAGCTCAGAACAGATGTTGGACACTCAGCATCCAACCCTCCTTATCGCGACACGTGAGGCAGTGTTAGGTGTATACTAATTCTGTATAGGGAAACAAACGTACTACTAGTATGACTGCGCAGTCGGGCAACGGACATTGGCTGGCATAGGAGGAAGAATAGCCGCTTCTGAACCGTGATGCTCTATTCGGATCTAAGGACGTTGTATAGCATACCCTGAGATCAATGTGGTTTGGCTGAGCACACTGGCAGACTCCTCGCAGTATTCTTGTGGCAGTAGGGGGCGACACTCCCTTGCTATGCACGACGGGAACTAAAAGCCGAAGACGGTCAATTCAAGTAGTAGACGGCCACTGTCATTGTCAAGTGGCAAGAGCTATGTGTGACCGAACACCTCAGCCACCGTGTACAGGTCTTGCCATCTCAAACAGATGCATTCATTCTATGTCAACTATGTACAATACACTGGTTTTGCCAAAGTCCAGAAATCCTACATCTCCACGACAACAAAGACGACACACACGCTAATGGCTCTACTCCCTGATTAAAACGAAACAGAAGGTATATTGAAACCGTCCGATCGAGAACCGCAGTCCATTACCTGCCTTGCATAATCTAACAGTATTTTTCTCCCAGCTCTCGAGATTCCGTACACACACGTTTACTCCGTCGTGACAGACTTCGCCCTACAAAGTAATGCAATCAGACGAAGTCAAGACACCCATTGAAACATCCACTTACAAGTTCCTCGGGAAGTCGACATCGAAGCCGTTCTGGATGGCAAGGTGGTAACTGAGGAGTTGCAGGGGAATGACGTTGAGCAGGCCCTGGAGACAGTCCACCGTCGGCGGCACACGGATCACCTTTGCGTTGTCGGGGACGCTGTCGTCATCGTCATTGCACAGAACAATCGGCTGCGCCTTGCGAGCAGTGATCTGCGCAAACGCGGACTGCACCTTGGGGTACAGCGAGTCGCGCGTCATGATGATAATGACGGGCATGTTTTCGTCGATAAGCGCGAGCGGGCCGTGCTTGAGCTCTCCCGCCAGGATACCCTCCGAGTGCATGTAGCTGATTTCCTTGATCTTCAAGGCACCCTCGAGACACGTGGCGTACTGGTAGCCTCTGCCCATGATCAGAAGACTGCGCGAGTTCGCGAGAACGTTCTTGGCCAGGACACGCAGGTTCTTGTCATTGTCGAGGACCTTCTTGATCTGGCCTGGAAGAGCGTGAAGACCGTCGATGATCTGCTTACGGCGCTCCAACAGGGAAATACGGTCCTCGGAAAGCTGGAGGGCCATCATAAGGAGGGCGATGTATTGGGACGTGTAAGCCTAGAAGGATTTCATCAGTTGATGTCTCGGTATCCCAGTATCGAGTCCTTACCTTCGTCGAAGCAACGCCGACTTCAGGACCAGCGTTGATGTGGATACCGCAGTGAGTTTCACGCGAGATCGTGGATCCCACAGTGTTCACGACACCAACGCAAAGGGCGCCCCTCTCCAAGCAGTACCTCAGAGCCAAGATGGTGTCCGCGGTCTCACCACTCTGACTAACAAACACGCAAACATCATCACGGAAAATCGGGGTCTTCCTGTCCAAGAAGTCGGAGGCAAGCTCAACGCTGACGGGAATCTCCGTCAACTCCTCGAAGATAGCCCGCGTAGCAATCGCAGAGTGATAACTAGTACCGCAAGCACAGAACACGATGCGACGCCCACGGCGAATGATGGGCAGGTACGCCTTCAGACCACCAAGCGTGATCTGGTGTGAGTCGAAGTTGACACGCCCACGCATAGTGTTGACGACCGACTCCGGCTGCTCGTAGATCTCCTTCTGCATAAAGTGGTCAAACTTGCCCTTCATGATTTCGGCAATCTCAATCTCGAGCGTCTCGATGCTGCGAGTGGTGGCGACCGATTGCGAGCCCTCCTCCTTGCTGCGCAGGCGGTGAATGTGCAGCTCGCCCTCAGAAATGTGGGCAATATCATCATCCTCGAGGTACAGCACGCGCTTCGTGTGCTCGACGATGGCAGCGGCGTCAGAAGCGATGAAAAACTCGATGGGCTGGGGAATCCCGTCCTCGGACATAAAGGCACGTGATTGGGTGCGGTAGACTTTAGAGCTGGAGCCAGGGACCGGGGGAGCCAACAGGCTGGAAGGAGATTGAGGAGATGTAACTGCATATACAATCAGATACAAATGAAGCCGAGAATGCATTGAGACTCACCGGTCGGAGGGGCGGAAGCGCTGGCATCTCCAAATTCAACATCGACGAAGTCAACCTTTAGCTTCTTGTCCGTCTTGACACCGATGAGCAGAGGGGATCCACGACGGGCAGTGACAAGCTCGTTGGGGTAGTGGCGGGACTTGAAGACGAAGGCGAAAGAGCCCTGAAGCTCCATCAGCACAGTCCGCACGAGCTCCGTGAACGACATGCGCTTCTCGGGCTGAGAATCATAGACGTATTTAGTGAGGATGGCGACAGCCTCGGTATCGGTATCACTCTCGAACTTATAGCCTCTCTTCTGCAGGACAAGTCGGAGCTCAGCGGCATTGGTGACGATACCATTGTGAACAAGACAGAACTCGTTGTCGGGGTCCGAGCGGACGGGGTGGCAGTTGCGGACGGAGGGGGGACCGTGAGTAGCCCAGCGAGTGTGTGCGATGGAGCACTGGGTGATGAACGTCTTTTTCGTGTCCATGTCGGATTCGGCGACCTTCTTCCGCAATCCGGCTACCTTGCCTACTTCCTTGAAGTAAAGGACCTCACCGGGTTTGTCGCCGTCAACAGCGAATCCGGCCGAGTCATATCCACGGTATTCTTGGCGAGACAAGCCGTTGCAGAGCGTCTCGCAAATCTCACCGCGAGTCTGAGCACGTGAACCAAGTCAGTAACGGAGACAAGTCGCTCAGAGAGATATGGAAGAAGGCTGATGCAACGACTTTCAGACGGAGCAATGACAATGTCGCGACATGTCTGACAGGGAATGGGCCATCAAAGCGCAGAAATACGGTATCCACGAACCACCAGTCCGGTCTTTGACGCTATTGAGAACATGCGGAGACCGAAACATCACGCGTTGGTGATCACGAAGTCCGTACGGTGACGGCTCATCCGAACAGCCCAACGTCACCGAGACAATACCTCCATATTCCAGTCGTAGGCATCTAAACACTGCCAGCCGACTACAGACGCTGGCTCCCATGTCTCAGACATTGGAACAAGAATGAACTCTCACCTTCTCCTTCAAGTAGCTGCAGTAACCAAAGATTCCACACATTGTCGGCAACGGTAACGGGTATTCTGAACAACCATTAGCATCAATAACGCGCACCGACGACGCCAACACTTACCTAGAATATAGGAAGGAGGGACTGGGAGCTGGCGGAGGACGGATGAGCAGAAGCTGGAGACAAGCTGCAGTATATAAACCCTCGACGCGTCCTTCCCCTGAAACACCAAACAAGACCAAACATTTCCTCATCGCCCTCGGTCTTACAGCCACGCATCGCCTTTTCGCAAGCCGGCGTCTCGCTCGCCACCTTCTCAGTCTAACTTTACTGATTCCTGTGCGATTGCCTTGGAAACTAGGCGTATCTCGGGCCGTGTACTGCTAAAGGCCAAAAGGGGGTGGGCATTTGAGAGTTCGGAAGGGTTACCAACCTTGCCAAGGTCGGAAGTTACTGGAAGCCGTCAGGCTCAGGCGACGGGCGATCATACCCTGCCGCGGCGTGTTGCTGCTCGTCTATGAACGTTCGAAGCAAAGCTCGAACGCAGCTATCGGCGAGCCTAAATTCATTGATGAGTGTCGATTGTGACGTCTCTGTGCAGCGCTATGTATAGTCTTGCTATTTTAGCTGGCCTCGCAGCCGCTTTTTCCGCAATTCTGTCGAATGGAATTGTCTAGTCGCGTTTCAGCCCTTGCGAGGCTTCATTTTCTTGTCCTACTGCGTCTTGAGAAGGTCTGGCCAAGGAAGAGACTTCATGCTGCGTCATTCCTGCTGCAACATGCAAAGTGCTGGAATCTTCTGTCAGCGTAAGGAATGAAGTATCGTCGCGTCCTGTATCGATGTGTCCTTCATATCGCGTCGTTTCATCCACGGAATCCTCACAGACATATCGTCCTCAAGCTTTGGGCTAATTTCTAGCCTAGTGGATGCCTCGGTGTACATGTCACTTCGTATCTGCGCCATCATGATATAACTACACAGGTTCACGGAGTCCCCGGCTACCGCAGGTCACCGAGTCAGGGCACTTCGGCGAACATCAACGTTGGCCCCTCTAATCACGCGAGATAAGCCCCAGAAAACAGGCCTTCCAACGCCATTGCACGTCCGTGCATGAGTCGCGCCCGTGCTTTGATATGTCCGAAGTATAAGGTGAGATACTCATGTTGTCTCGTGTATATGGCACTAGGTCCTTTGACCGTCAGCAGGACTTGGGACTGATAGACAATTGGTGGCTCTGCGCAAGAGGCTCTGGGCCGGGCATATCAGAGATGAAAGCCCATACGAAAGCCAATCTCCGAGAGGTGGGTGGGACAATCCCTTCCGGGGCTACACGGATGTGCAATAGAAATACATTCCTGACAGGTTGAACTATCATAATACAGCCTGCACTGGCACGTCCGCCCATCATACAAGACGCAAATCATACTTCATGCCTGAATCTCGTTACTCCTGTTAACAGCATGTTCCCTCGCGTACTGTTCCCGCGCCGCCTTGGACTCAGCCTCAGGAACCAACACGAGATCATGCTCAAGCAACTTGAAGTGGCTCCCCTTGGGGAACCCACGCTTGCGCGCCTCCTGCTCATTGTCCACATCCTTCAATGTCTGCAACAGGCCATCAAAACGAGAACTCAGCGCATATAAGGGAAGAGGCACGCACGACGACCAGGGATTTCTTGACGCCGAAAACAGCGTCGCTCGCAAGCCACTCATCGCCCTCGGGGTAGAACGCGGTCGTGAGTTTCTGGTAGCCCGGTGCCTCGATCATCATATGCAGATGGTTCGGGCGCATATTGTGTCGGTTGAGCATGAGCAGTAAGTCTCCGACGGGGCCCTGTCGGATACCACACAAGTCAGACATGGGAGCGCGAGGGTAAAAATGGACTGGACGGACGTCACCGGGGATGGGGTACGCTACTGGAACGACAGCGCGGTAGCCGTATCTACCGTCCTTGTCCGTCCGCAAGCGGCCCCTGCAGTCGGGTTTGCTTCTGTCCGCATATTGCGTGTCGTAGAAGCCTTGGTAGATATTTAGATCACCAGTAGCCTGAGACCTGCCAGCGGCCACTCACCATACTCGTCTGTCTCCCACGTTTCGATGAGAGCGTTCGGGACTGGCTTCCCGTGCGTATCGATTACACGCCCCTCGACGTACATGTACTGCCCCTTGCCCTCGGACGCAATAGAATCGCCGTTGTTGACTGCAAAAGTGATCGGACACGGGTGAGCAGGTACTTCGGAGAAAGTACGCACCGTCGGGAGCGTCCTCAGTGAAGAAAGGCCCGAGCACGCTGCTCTCCGTCCCGCCGCTGACTGGGGGGTTGTTAAGTGCGTCTACGAGCGCGGAGATGCCGAGGACGTCGGAGAGCAGGATGAACTCTTGACGAATGGGCGTGCAGATTTGACCTGTCCGGGTCAGAAATTGGATGGTGTTCATCCATTCGTCCGTGGTGATACTACGGTAATCTAAGTCCTGGGATATGATGTCTCGAGTCGTAGGCGCACCTTGTCTCATTGATGAATTGGTGTATATGCGTAATTAAATTCTTGAAGATGTACTTCTTTCGTCTACAACGCAAGTTAAAATCTTCCTCTGTGTACTTCAAGCTGATCATACTCACTCATCGGTAATCAAGTTGGTCAACTTCAGAAGGTTCTCCGTAATGAGCTCTGGTCTGTCCGGGTACTACAGGGCCTTCATCATCAGCTTCCAACGCCGTCTGTCTCTATACATACAACGCACCGGCAAGTCAAGGTTAGGAGGCGGAAGGCCGTTCGACACTGCCTTGGCTTGAAGGGGCTTCTTGTCGTCGGCCATAGTGGACACAAATGCGGGGTCGATTGCGGGGACAAACCAGAGTCGTCTGATTTATATCGCAGCAAGGTGAACAGTTCATCCGTCCCCCAGACCTCCTCATGATTCGAGCCATGGTAGTGCGAGGCCTAAATACAGTAACCACGGCCATCACGTTACGCTTGTCCCGCCCGAAGCGTTTGTTTCTGGATCCTCGCGGAGTCGACGCGGACGCCGTCCAGGTCAGCGTCGTGTCTGCCGTCATCGTTGCTGGGTTAGCTGTTGAGCATGATATGATCAAGCTATGGACTAGCTTAAGATTCTCTGCGTCTCGCGGCGGTTCTCCCCATTCGAATGTCTGACAGTTATACAGCGACCCATATTTACGAGTACTATTCGTGAAGCGTCTATGTCGGGTCAGGCGAAGCTCTTACGACAAAGGAAGGTCAGGCTTGAGGCCGGCAGGAGCAGACAGGCTGTCTTGTTGGTCCGAAGGACGGAGGGATGTATTCATGGTACGCTTCTCCGGCCCCATGTTGTATAGGCTCAGAGGTGACTGTACTCGTAATTTGCGTCTAGAACTCCTGGATGACGAATATGAAGCAAGCACACAAGTCGAAAGATACTGAAGAATCATCGACTCATTTTACTGAACGTGATCCAGTTCTGTTCCTGAGCAAGATCGTGGGCCGTGCTCTGCAAGTCGACGTAGTATCCCGACAAACAAATAGTGCGCTCAGGCGATGTCGAGGCGCAGTGCATCTGACAGTGAGCTGCTCATTGTGTTTTTGCAAAGTTGCATGCTTAAATTACCATCCATCTCGGGTGTGCTTCATCGTTTTGGACTTCACCGACTTCTGCCAGCTCCACGAGGTTGTACATACGTCAACCGGGAGCCAGAGATTGGTCATACACCTCGTATTTCCGAACATACAAAACTCCATCCCGCCGATCTATTTCCGCGTATCAGGGACCATCCCATTTGTGACCTCCAAAGAACCACCTTTACCTGCAACGCCATATACATAGCCTTACTCAAGGTGCGATCTTTCGCAAGAACCTCAACAGATTCTGGGCCACCTCATGCGGTCTCTCCTGCTGTACCCAATGGCCAGCCCCGTCGACCAAGATGAAGTCCTCATCCTCCATCCTCTCGCAGAGATCTTTCCTCATCTTATCGATGGCCCCCGGATTCTGGTATACCCCCCAATCCTGCTTCCCCGACAGGTACATGGCGGGTACCTCGATCTTCTTGTTGGAAAACACCAGCAGATCCTCACTCAACTCTTGCGAGCGTACAACGCGGTACCAGTTCAACCCGCCTTGGAACCCCGTCCGCGAGAACTCGCACACGTAGTACACGAGGTCGCTGTCCGGCAGCCAGCGCGAGGAGACAGAAGATACCACCTCTACTGAAGGTGCCTCCTTTGCTACGACCTCCGGCATGCTCTTGTTGAAAGGCATGATATAATACTCGGGCATAACCGCCAACGCTTCAGCTGTTCGGGCGGGCAAGGGCTTTGCAGCCTTGTTCCTCTCCCAGTCAGCGCTCTTCATATGGAAGTACGCGCGCAAAAAATCGTGCAGACCCTGTGGCGCCCCCAGCAGGTCCCTGTTGGCTACAGGAGAAGTGTAGTACGACACATAATGCTTCCGGGGCGGGTCGAGTGCCGCGAGCGCCTCGTCGACCTGTGGTGCGAGGAGAGTGATATCGGGTGCGTGGGATGGTGCGGACGCGGGGTCGTCGATATTAAAGGGTAGGGCAGGTGCTCCCGTGAACGGCGCGCTCATGCAGACGAATCCTTTGAACAGGTCTGGCCGCACTAGGGCGCAGAACCCCGCAACGCGTGACCCGGCGTCGTGCCCGACTACGAGCGCCACGGACGTGTACCCAAGTGCGTATACGAGCGCCACGATGTCTTTGACGAGGTTCAGCAGGCGGAACGGCCTGAGGTCATCCTCATACTGTATCGGGCGCGATGGCGCTCCTCGCACGGCGGTAGCGCCGTAGCCACGCTGATCGGGCGCCACGACGTGGTAGCCCTCCTTCGCTAGCGGAACCATCACCTTTCTCCAGGTGTATGCTAGCTCTGGGAAGCCGTGCAGGAGGAGTACAAGACGGGGATTCTCTGTGGATGGCTGAGGCTTCGCCTCGAGGAAGTGGAGGTCCAGGTCGCTGACAGGCAGCGTCCTCGACACGACACCTTCAGGGAGGCCTTGCATGTTCCTTCAAGCTGGCGGGCGAGCCACCCGCTGGAGCGTGGCAGAAGGCGAGGAGCGATTATTCAGGATTGGGCGATATGGCACACTCACGACAAGATATACGATGTAAGTTGTTGGTCCCCTGACGTCCGAGCATGAAGCCTATCCTATACTTAGGTTGTCCTGGAATGCGATAGACGGCAGTTCGGACAAAAATAATCATGAGATTCGTAAATGCTCGGGGATACGATCCGGATCGCCGAGGTGGTTCGGCCCCGAGGGTCAGTGCAGTAGAGATTGTGGTGGCGCTATTGTTTTTGTCCAGGATTGTAAGTGCATTATTATTCTAGTGCATTCTTTCAAGTACTCTGCTCATTCGAGGCGATAATACAAGTGTTGGCTACCGATGTAAGCGGTATCTTGGACTCCGAACGTGTCGCACATCGTCGCCTCCGATCTCACTGCTTCGCCGTCTTCGCTCTTTTGAGTGGGGTCATTCATATAGGGATGTATATCCCCTACTGCAAGGGAATACTTTTGTTGTGTGTAGGTATGATCCCATCCGCAACATCATTTCGCCTGTACTCTGACTGCAGGTACTTCACAAGGGTACAGTGCCCAATAACGGTGATTAGAATCCTCGTGTATACAAGAATCACCCCAGGAGCTTGTATTCCTCGACAAGAGAATAGCAAGTGTCATGCAGTCGGCCAACTCGGACCCCAGTATCGTTCTTGTTTCAGCTTTCTCTGTGGTTAAAACCCGGTCTCTACGGTACTATCAACATTCAAAACTACTCCGACCATAGCGCACTGCTACTATTGAACTGTTCAGAGGACGCCCTATCTTCAGCTGTGATGGGCGCCCCGAGCTGTCATGAACCTGTTGTGCATCCGTGCCTAGCGATCTCCGAAATTCTGCGGGAAATTTTCTACTTCCTCGATGATCGCCACGACCTGGCCGCTCTCGCTCGGACTTGTCGCGCCTTTATGGATCTCGCGTTGGATCGTTTGTGGCACGAACTGCCAGACTTCACTATCCTCATTTGCTTTGTTTTACCCGAGTCGAGATGGCAAATCGTTCCCCCTAAGGAGATAAACCCACGGCCCATATTGGTGAGCAATATTGCTGCTGAAGTTACTGAGCTTCCGACCCCAATCCTTGTTCGTCAGAATATCGTTGCATCCCCATCCGTCAATGAGTGGAAAAGGTTCGCGTATTATGCGACCCGCGTCAAGAAGCTTTTCTACAACACGAGGTTCAGCGTCAAGAAGTATGCCGTCACTCGCCCGTTAATAATCGCACGCGAAGCACTTGAACTCATACTCGAAGCCAATCCTTGCGAGTCTATTCACCCAACACGTATCCTACCCGCATTACGAGATCTCGTTTGGTGCCCCTGCTACGAGGACCCGACCGACCAAATCAGATATTTCGCCGCAGGCGAGGAGGGCCTTCGCAAATTGACTATCAATTGGCATGATGATCGTGGTAGAATCGAGGGGATTCTATCACGTTTCGGGGGCGATCTCCCCGTTCCGACAGCCATAGCACTGTCAACGGAATATTTTCCCTTCTATTCCCTCCCTGGGTGTTTCTCCACGCTTGGTGATCTCCAGGTGCTGGAAGTCCACTGTACGACTATGGAATACCGCTACCTCCATGACCTCTGTCAGCTGCCTAGGATGGTTGTGGTGCGACTTGGTGTGGAGACGCTGTACCACCCGACCCGCAATGACGCTTTGGCATTTTTCTCAATGTCATGGGGGCGTCCTTTCCCTTCCCTGAAGTGCCTGGACCTGCATTCACCGCAACCACAAGTAATAAACTACATACTTGGCCTACTTAAGGACTCGCGCTTGGAGGCATTGGGAATTCACTGTGGCCAATATCCTAGGGCGAGCCAGGATGAGGAGCCCATTGTTCGTCTTGAAGCCCTTGAGCAGTTGTCGATATCAGCCAATTCTGCACAACGCTGCGCCGGCATACTACGCAAAATTGCATGTTGGGATCTGAGAGTGCTGGACATCGAGATATTCCGTACCGACCAAGAGCCTGCTTTTCTTGCAGCCCTCCTGTCCGAGTATCGTCCAACTTTGACAACCCTATATCTGGACGTTCTCTGGGGGAACCCGAACGATTTCCCTAAAAGTGCACTGCAAGCACTGAGCGGCTTATCGAGGCTTGTGCACGTAGAAATATCGATAAGCGGTCATGCTTGCAAGCCCAGCGACGAAATGCGCAAAGCTCTGAAAGACGCCTGCCCTGGGTTAGTGGTATTCGAGGCGACACGACACGACTGGAAGGATTATACCTGCCTATGCGCTACACAGACTGGACCTGTTCCGACTTCATGGTCATGTTTTCTGACACTGGTTCATGCAGATTAGCCTCCGTCCGCGCCGATATACTATAGGCGTGTTTTATTTGTGCTGCTCGTACGTGTGGTATGAAACGAACGCTATTATACAATGAATGGTATCCGTACTTCAATTACAGCGAATGTACCTTCCATGAAGAACATCTATGTGCACCGGGCATCGCGTGATGAAAACGGATGCGGAAGAACAGCAGGCCCCGGCTCTTAATATCTTTGCGCCTCCACGTCATCTTGCAGAGGGGGCGCTTTTGTGGTGTGATCCAAATGGTGGTCGCTGTCTCCCTCAGCGATAGTGAATGTTTCCATCTACAGTTCTGAGTCAGCCATTCTGATGGGTAGTGTACGCAACAGTGTGCTCGCCTGCACGTGCACGCCCTCTGTCTTGTTCTTTCTGCCACCAACCATCGATACGGACGTCATGACAGGACGTGTTGTGCCGCTGTTGGGAAAGCGGGCGCCAGAGTGCTGTCCAGAGCTTGAACTGGATACGACCCAACATGCAATCAGCAGTAGTAATAAATTGTTTAAATGGATGAGCGCACAATACTTCGGCTCCCTGGTTAGAGAAGGTGGTGAGACGTCGGACAGCGCGACAAGCGACGATCTACGATTCATTCCATCAGGAAGGTCAGACTAGATGGGCAGTTTACGACTCACAGTCGATGCAGTTGCGGATGGTACATTGAACAGGATACTCATAACAGGGCTCAGGTTCAAGACCATGAACGTCTGCGAAATTGCGTATGAGCACACAGCCGATATATATTGATGGCAAAGAACTCACCGTTGCAAGTGTGTTTGCCAGGAAGGCGACCACGAAGTAGATCAGACCATCACCCCAGATCCTGTTCATCAGTGAGCTCCTCTGGTTGGTTGGGTTGTCGAAGATTAGCTTGTACGCCGTCAGGATCGTGACGAGGAGGTCGAATGCCATGGTGTAAATGAATGTGGCGGAGAGGATGGTGGTCTTGGTGCTGATGATCGCACAGCCTTGGCCCGGGACGAAAGTGGCGGTCAGTTGAATTCCTATACCGAGTCCAAATCGATCAGCACGGAGCCGAACAGAGCAATGGTCAGCGGGGCAATTTACCTTGCAGAATCAACGACCAGTGGCCGAGGATGATGATAACTAAAGGAATGACGATTTTCTTTTGCTGGGACCAGATGGCCATTCTGCAGACGGCCTTCAGCATCGGAACCGAGCGAAAAGTCATTATAGAAGGTTCTTACGTCCTGATCGCGAGGTTGATGCTGGCGAATCCGATCGTGGACTGTCCGGTAAGCTATGTAGAGATCAAGTCAACGCCTGTCCGAGAGAACTCAGTGGCATAACGTACCTGATTGAAGGTATAGAGTGCCTGGCAATTAATCGGTCTATGAAGTATTCCGTCAGTTCTGCTCGGGCCCTCAGCGCTGCAGATCCATGCTCACGTCGTAGTGTCCAGAGCGATTGCACTGAAGGTAGGATTAGATACAGAGTCAGAGTAGGAATTACAGATAATGCTCACATTCCGATTAACGCTATTAACAAACAGTATCGTCCTGCCATGTAGAAAATCTATTATATTCGCTTCAGTGTAATCTCAAGGCGACCATCGTGGGTGCCTACCATGGGCCAGCGGAACTTCCTCTTGCCACTGACGAATTCCCAGTCAAAGGGAAGTGAAGTCGTCCATTCCCAACTACGGATCTCAGGTTAGTTGGCCAACCCCTGCACTTACAAGGGAGACTACTCACGCATACAGGCCGAGGATGGCATGCATGAAGTTGGTGAAGGCCTCTGTTACCTAGCATGAGTGATATGCGCGCGACTTAAGGACAGATAGAATACTGACGAGACTCCTTCGCGAGCTCCTCCGGTGAGTTCCAGTCAACCATGTTGCAGACAAAACCTGGCAATCGCTGTACCGGAAAGGTGAGGAGGAGAATCCGAGAAGGGGGTGACTGGCAGAGAACCGCAGGGGGACTCTACGTGCGACGTTTTAACACGATCGGCGTACATATATTCGAGGCACCTTGTGTACGAAATAAACTAGGTAAAAGAAGCACCAGGCGGTAAGGAAGCAGAAGCACCCAAAAACTTTGACGGGTACCCTGGTACCTCGTCATTCCATCAGCACGCATCCACGAATTACACACCTCCGAGTGGCGGTTAATTTAGAGCGCTCAAGCGAATGCCTGTACTTGGACGCAGTTTCTGTACTGCGTCCGCGCGATAGCTGGAAAGTCTATCAGTTGACCAGATGTATCGACGCTTCCTATGCGTATTTAGGACAAGGACAGGATCCATTGCAGCACATAGCAACGACTCGCCCCTCGAGCCCAGAGCGCTCGTGGAGGCATTATGACAAGAACGGTAGTGGCAGCACTCCGAGTGGACGTAAACCCGTGTGTTAAGCCAGGCACTGAAGAAGCCCCGGCGACCGCTTTCGGACCAAACGAGAGTCCTATTCCGGCCTGATGGAATTCTAAAATGAATTTCTCGGAGACCTCCACTGCTCCGAACCTCCGACATTACCATTTCGGGTAGGACGGCGGGCAACGTGGGTCCGCCGCCGGCGTAGGCAGCTTCGGCCGTCCCGCTTATTAGGCGAAGAGGTGTCTCTCGTTGTTTGACTGAGGTTCGCTGTACAGGAATTCTACACAGCTGGCATGCTCAGCGGCCGAGGGGGAATTCGTCGCTGACGCCGGCGGGCTGCAAGACATTTGGAGAAATTGAGGTAAAGAGGCGACTTGCGATTGATCACCCTTACTCGTGTTGATTGTCGCTGCCATGGTTGTCGGGGCAAGGCCGACAGGACATGCAATGAGGTGATGCAAGCCGACAAAAGCCAACTCTGGGGTACGCTGCCCTGTCTCTGCGGCCACAATCCTCCGCCAAGCGCGCATTTGAGGTTTTCTGGACCTTGGGCGGCCTTCGCACATTTGTCCAGTAAGGTTGCAGCCGTGTACATAGCTAAGTTCCCCTTACCTGCAGCCACCATATGTCCTGACGATTTACCGGCAATCAGATCGTACCTCAGGCTCGATCGTGATCGCATGCAAATCGCAGATGCGAAGGACCGTCGGTGTGTCCAGAGAGCCACCCCGCAGAAACATAGAGCAACGACCTTGTATTACACACGCAGGTAGCAACAGCATAAGCTCGGGTCTATAGCATAGCGTCAAGCGTCTCGCTCTGCTATACATCCGACCATATGCCTCCACACTGCGGCCATAAAGACTTACAACATTCGGGGCCGTCTATTCCTGCGTCCCGCCCGCTGTAATGCTCCGTCGTCTGCGCATCAACCTGGCTGCTTCTCTTCAGATGTTCTGGTCTCTCTGCGACCCTCTTGGCTGAGCTGATGGTTATCTGACACCCGCTGTCAAGACACAGGGCGCTGTTGCCACACGCTCTACAGAAATAGGACTGGCAACACCTACCTTCGCACTTCGCGGGCCCGCTGGGTAGCTGTCAATCTCGACAGACTTGCTCTCGATCGTGCTTAGTCTGGGCGGTAAATCACGGTCTGGATGCAGGATGTCTATGGAGCTTGGAGCGTCTATCGCCCGATGGCAAATGCGACCAGCGAACACCTTGGTAAGATAATGTGAACGGAGTAGTATTGGGACGAATGCAGTGTCTTGTTGCAGCGTCTTGTCATGGAAAGGCAATATTCTGGTCATCTGCCTTTATACTTACTTGTGCACCGCGGATGACTGCCCCGGTATCCCTCATCTCTATAGCATTTATCGCTATGTCCGTGGCCCATAGGTCGAGCTTCATTCTAGTGCGTCAAATATACTCAACCTCGCGATACCGACGCCTTCCGCTTGTGCCCGAATCAACCCTCCCCGTCCTTAGTATGGGAAGTGTCTTGCTTACCCTTGACGCTCCTGCCCCCATGGCGATGCCCGGTCATCATGGGTACCGCAATCACAGGCCGCGGCACCGACGTCCTGCCTCGTTACCGGGACCAGTCGTGCATCCTCGAAGGGGAAGAATGCTAGCTAGAGTCGGGCTGCTATAAAGCTCGCACGACCCCGCGCCCTTCCTGCATCCCTCATCAGAACCTCTGAATCCCGCCTTCGACTTGTGGGATTGCGTTTACTATCCTCTCCGCGGGCCGGCTCCGTGGATGTGTTTTGAAGTGCCTGAACTCTCGTTTGTGTGTTCGTGTACTATGTTGTGCTCTAAGCTTCGCTCGCTGATCCTCAGGCCTCAGGTACCGTGCTTATGCCCCTACGTCAGACTACTGGTAGAGCTCGATCTCCGTCCTGCAGCGGCCTCCTCGGTGTCTAGAATAAATAGTATACTAACTATCGTATGAACTAATTCTCACTTTATCGATACGTTTGTACTGCGGAAGCTCCAAGCCCACACACACCACTTCATAGAATCCGATGCAGAAGGTCAAGTTGGGAAAGCGCTCATGCTGTATGGGTGCGGGGTACGAGATTAACGTTCACCCCGCGAACATACCTTACGTCCCCCTCGCTACCGGCCGAGACCACCGTGCAATCTATCATGAGTACCGTACAGTACACGAAAGCGCGGTTTAAAATCAGCCCACCCATCCCGCAGGCGAACAAGCGATGTGACGCATTTGGCAACAGCCCGGATATGGGAGGGTGAAGGGGACTGCCTGATTTGGGTCGAAGGGAGAAGGCTTGGGCTTCTCTCCTCCAGATCCTTGGTGTTAATTCCGTACTGGCTCTGGAATGCTTGGGAGGGGGTTGGAGCAGGTTTCTGGATGTGCGCGAGGCGGCCCTGAGCGTGGAGAGTAATGTCGGTCCCAGTGAGGTTATTCCGCTGGAGGAACGTCCCTTGAGCATACTCGCATTGGAGGGGATTATTTTGGCTTGGGATCGGGCTTATGAAGGTAGACATACAGATATGAATGATTATGAACGACAGGTAGATATTCGAACCCGAAGGGTTTGGCCTTGGGGATTAGGAGGACGCGAGGACAGGCATGCGTACGTTCCAGTCTGTCAGTGAAAATGAAGTCTAAACATGTCAATCGTCGGTGGAGAATACGCCCGGTGGCATATCCCTCGCCCCCGAAATCATTTCCGCTGCTGGATAGCCAGGCGTTTTCCATCATCGATTTTCGTGATGGTAACGGCACGCTCGGCATACGCGGGGTTGTCGGCTTAAGCAACTTACGACGTCTCTTCTAGCGATGTCTTTGCCTGTGATGGACCTTGAAGGGACCTACACACTTGTTGAAAACTGGCGATAGCGCAGGACATTTGCTGTAGTCAGCCAGTAAGCGGGAACCCCGATCAGCTTGGTGGTTTGATTTCGACCTGGAGCGGTGGCACCCGGAGGAACGTCAGAAAAGGTTGATGACGGAGTTCGCGGCCGTTTCTCAAAGCAAGGGTCCACGCTTACCTAGCTAAAGAAGGGGGGAATCCCGTTTGGAGGCTTGGATCGGGTTACGCATTCAATCGCCCAATGTGCGGAATCAGTTTTGTGTCAGCTTCGTTGTGGATATTCTTCCCGTAGAGCAGTCACTCTAGATTAGACTCGCAAATGGCCCATTTTCTCGAGTCCTCGGGTCATGATGAAGGAGACTGCCTGATACGAGCAGCACTTGGCTTCGTAGGTGGATCTTGACATACAACGTGAGCGCCCGAAAAGGAAACGTGCAAGGCAAAAGCGTGACCGCGTGACTGCGATTTGCCTCCGTGAACTTGGAACGATTTAGCGCTGTGAATATTCCCGTCGCCGAATTCTGGCGCTGGTTACATCGCGAATATATTTCTGTGTGCGTCTGTGGGCCCTATATTCTGTTGGAACATCGCTCGACATAGGATGAAGCAAGGCGGGGGAAGATCCAGCTGGCGTGACGGTGAGCAAGCCAGTTCGACGTATGTCAGTAAGCTTGTTCCTGGAAAAGAAAGAAGATAGAAGCGGCGTTAGGCGCGTGGCGGAATGCCGAAGTGGGCTCGAACGGACAGAGTTATGCCCTTTCCGCGTCCATCCAGCTTCACACCGTTCTTTCCTTCCATGTCCCCACCTGTATGTAATCCCAGCGCGAGAAGGTCACCCGTTCTCAGAAAGAACTCCCTGCGCCTGCGATTCCTCTCGTTATAAGGACGCTCCTCGTCCTCCCTGTCCTGCCCAGCTGCGCTCTCCGGCCTTGCACTCTCCTTTATCCGTTGCCCTCATAATTATTGATCCATCATGGTCGACTGGCAGTCACCCGCAGAGATCGCAAAGGATAGCGGTACGTCGGGCAGCCCAAGACAGTTGGAACAGCTTGCTGAATGACTTTCATGCAATAGAGGCGTTTGCCAGGTTCATGCACGCCTTGATCGGCCTGTATATGTGAGTATATGCGCGGTGTATGCGCGTGCATCGGCTGAGTATCACCCTGGACGTAGGTGGGAGTTCGTCACCTCCCTCCCATTCGATTGGGAGTTCATTTCGGGGAGGAAAAAGTTCCGGTGGCCAATGGTAAGTCGTCCGAAAGCAGCACAAGTCAGTTGTCTGATCTTTGCGCCAGGTCTTTTACTTTGCCAACCGCTACTTTCTACTCATTGCACTCGTTGGGATGTGAGTCTGTTCACCGCGGATATTCGGTTCTTCTTGTTGACTTTGACGTAGCTTGGTTGTATTGAACGTCACCACGTACGTGTTCATTTGAGAGGCATAGCAAGCATAACCTGAGACGTGTCCCAGACCCCTTAATTGTCAAGCATTGTACACGTTTGTGCAATGTTTCGGCAATGCGTCCATCGGCCTTGCCAGTATCAACCTGTCCATCCGCACGTACGTATATCGGCCCACACTCTCAGATGACGCGCATATACTTACCTGCCGTCTCATAGGATGGCCGTCTGGTCCCAGAAGTGGTACATCGTCGCCCCACTGGTCTGCATTATCCTGGGGCACTGGTCTATGCTCCTCCATGGTCAGCATCATTTCAACTATGCGCATATATGCAGTTATTTCCGTGGTTGAAGACCCAATCATTGATCCGCTCTTTTACAAGGCATCCTTCTGACGGCAGCATACATCCCTGGCCAGGGTTGCGCCATCACGAACACTAACAGCAAGCTGCTCGCGGCGACCTTTATCTACTCCATGTGCTTCGACTTCCTCGTGCTGACACTCACTGCGTGGAAGCTCGCGTATCCATGGAAGGGTCGCTCGGCATTGTTCAAGATGATCTTCGGAGATGGCTTGGTCTACTTCGCTGTCGCGTGAGTTTCCATTCTGCGCGCGTCATCTGAACGAATTGTTGACCTGGCTGCGACCTAGCTTCTTGGCGAACTTGATCGCGACGGTGAGCATCTCATGTAAGGACTTGTCTAGTGAACTCAAATTCATGGCTATATGTGCAGATTTTCATGCTCTTGGACCTCAACCCGGTCATGTCGATCATCGCAAACGTTCCGGCTGCTATCGCGTCTTCCGTAGGTGCTTCCATTGCGATGATGCATTTATTTGTTTAACCTGTCTGGTAGATCGTGGCTTGCCGAGTTGTCCGACGGCTGACCAAGTTCACCACCCGAGGGCCGGAGTTGTTCTCGTACGTTGCGTATCGTCTCCGGTACTTCCGTTTACTCACGATATGCGTGCTCTTAGGTCAACCGGTCAGGGTTCAACCCTTGCCTTCCGTGGAACTCGACCTCCGCCCACGACGATGTCCTTCAAGAAGCCTATTGGCACCGAGAGCATGGGCGTCCATGTGCAGGTAAGCATTCGTTATTGGATGTGAGGAGCAACCCTAAATCAATGCCCGATGACTAGATGGAGACGTTCACCGCCCAGGATCCCAAGGACGAGTCCTTCATGGAATACGATGCTGCTGGCAAAGTCGTCAAGGAGGGGCAATATGACCCCGAAGCGCAGGCAATCAGCGACGAGTTCAAGCGACCTCCGTATTAAGCCTTTCCTCCTGTCGGCTCCATTTTCCTACTCACATCCTACCTCGGTCACCTCCCCGCCGCGCCGTCGCCGTCCCCGCCATCATACACTTCTCTGCATATAGATCGTTCTGAACCGTCGTCATCGCTCTTTCATCATTCGTTTTCTATGGCACTGTCATTTGTGTCGGTCTCTTGCATCTTGTATCCTTGCATCATTGGGTCGATTCATTCATCCATCTCCCCCCACCCAGTCGCATTGCATCACATTACCTCTATTTTACTCGGTCATACCGGGTCGGTCGGTCGGTTGGACTTTGGGTCGCTGTCGTTGTCCTTGTAGGTCTAGGTCTGCAATTCAAAGTTGGAGTCTCTGGTTATACGTTTCCTTGCTTTTCTAGCTGTGCATCTTTGCTTTCGTTGTCTCCTCAAAAAGGCGACCCCAGTGGCAACTGGGCGCTGCCGTGTAGACCCGTAGGGTTGTGTTTATTAGTGTAATATTATATAGTGTAATTCTAGGTCCTGGTTCATAGAATGCACTTTGTCCCATCTGCGTTAGCCTCGGGGGTATTTGATAGAGTGGTATTAACGTTTTATGAAGGTGTGTTCTTCCCTTCCGTTGCAAATGGTGTTGGCGGGATGGATATTGAAGCTGATAATCATAACTCAGATTGCGTCGGGATGAGAGAAGATTAGTGTCGGGCCTTCGGCGTCTCCCTCTGTGTTGCAAGCCATATGCTCGCTCTCGGGGTGGAAGCAGCTCCCCGAGCTCTCTCACACCCTGCAGCCTTGGTCAGCTCCGTGGATGGCGGCATTGCCACCTCCGGGTATGTTTTCCCGGTTTCGCAGCAGGGGCACGTCGTGAGTGGGGAACTGTGATATGTGATTCCAACTGATTCGGATGGCGGCGGTTCACAAAGTCAAGTTGTGTAAGGGAGAGCGTTCAAGCCGAGCCCTGGATACGATGTAGGTTCATGTTTTCTATCGGAAGATGCCTATCTGGCTTGCGAGTTCTGTTCGGAGGGTTTGGGGAGTATCAGAATGTCAGGATGGGCTGATAGCATCGAGCAGAGCTTGCCCATGGTGGGGGTACCTGCTCAGGACCCTAGGATGACTGCAGGGTGGAGCGTTGCGTCCGAGTCCACCGGACTTGGAGATGATTACTGGGACGACAATGTCAGCTAGTGCCTGCGTTACAATATTGGCTCTGCTGCCTTGAGGCGGCTGGTTCAGGTGAACGGTCGATTCAGCCTTCTTGCCTTGTGGTAAGAGTGTCATCACGAGCAGTATGTCGAGCCTCGATCTGTGGTGGCGTAATCTTTGTCAGCGGTATCTGCGGGGCGGGTTCCTTAGTCCCGCACAGGGCCTGTAGGGTAGGGATGGCGAAAAGACAACACAAACAATCACGATGGTCCACAGAGCCCTGAGCACCGTTGAGAGTTGAACACGATGATATAACATCATTGCAATTGTGGTCGTTCCAGTGAGCAGATGTGGCAAGGACGCGCCTTTCGATGTGACGTCCCTGTGACGAGCCTCTTCCACAGTGGCCACATCGGACAACGAGCAGCTTCCCTGTGAAATGCAAGACTGGTCGTCGAGATCTGGCATATGTCTAACTTGACAATGTGAAATATCAGAGGGTGGGACCCACAACGCCTCCCGATGCCTCCTCCTGCCTCCCCATCATTTCCTTCATTGCGGACGCATTTCCCTATCGATTCCTCTCGCTCTTTCGATGGAAGTTGATCTCTGGACATGTAGCTTTCATTCTACTCTACTTCCAAGCAGCATGGCGCAGTGGAAGCGCGTTGGGCTCATAGGATTACGTAAGCAATCACATGATGTAACCCAAAGGTCGCTCGATCGAAACGAGCTGCTGCTAACTTTTTTGCTCTTTGCCTTCCTGACAGCCTTAGATACAGTATATATGTTGCTTTTAGACAAACATGTATTTTATCCACCTTTGTTATGAGCTTTTGACAGTTGGACAGTCTATGTTGGACAGTCATTCGAGCATGGTCTATACTTGCTCTGGGACTTCCTTGTTGCATCAGCCATCCAAGCATCTACCACACAGTATTTGGCTTTGTCAAATATACAGCTATCATATGTACATGGCACTGACTATAGTACCTGTGAAAGCCTAATGCCACTTATCCAGTACACTCAGAAGGTGAAGGAGGCATAATGTCACAGCAACGTGCTAGGACATAGTTAGATCCCCAGCTTGAGAATCTTAAGTAAGCGGCCAGAGGCCGGAAACCTGTAGGAAGGCGAAAGGTTAGTCCGTCAGCGGATCCCTACAATAGCGAACCAACGTCGACGAAGCTCGCAACCAGGAGAGCGTTTTGCATGATTCCGACCAATGCCCGTGCTGTACATTTTGTGGCGCAGTGGAAGCGCGTTGGAAAATTGGAAGTCACGTGATATGCGCTGATAGGTCCATACTACGGCTACAACGTATGTGGCACTCGCGAGTCCTGTTGATCCCATGATTAGGGGGGACAAGAAGCCTCCTCGGCGAGAGACGTTGAAAGCCGGGGTGATCGCACTCTGGCTGTTGCCATTTGTATTGAGGACCATATACGGTACATGGGTGGAGGCATCACCGCATATGACCACATCAGCATGGTACTAGTAATGTAGCATGCTCTACAGAAGTATGTAAGTGTGGAGAAAGATCTTGACACATACTGTCATATGCGTGGTAGCATGTCTTCCGCGCTCGGAAGGATTGTCAGGGGGTTGAATGAGTTTATCGAGGATAGCCAGGGGTTGATCGGGGATGTCCTTGGTTATGAGGAATCCAAGAACGTGGTGCGACCGGGGGACAGGCTGGGTTTGCCAGCGGCAAGGGGCAGCAGATTCTTGGGACGTAGCGTTTTAAGTGATCACTGTCAAGCAGTGACGATTGCACAGGACTGGATAACGGAGATACTGTGATGGATCGACAGACTAGTATGCTTGTGACGCAACAGCAAAAGGAAGCCGAAGGAGGACCTTAATGTTTGATCAATCAATAGTAGACAATATGAGTCGCGCAAGGTCAAGATGTAAGGTGAAGTCGTGATGTTAACTAACCCCGGGCCGTCTGCAACAGCAATATCAATTGAGGGCAGAAGCAATTGTCGTGAGCGATAGTGGTATTCGAAGTTGGATGGATGGGACAGTCACCGTCCGAACTTCGAGGCCACCTTTCTCACGTTTGAATTTGTGGCCGGGGAGCAAAATATAGTTAACCTCCGAATATTTTACCAGTTGTCGTCGTTGTCATAAAAGGCAAGAACTGCGGCGACGTAAGCAGCAATACCGGAGACACAGCGACATGACAATCTGCACATACCCTGCTGATCTCTCCATGCGCACATCCGAGTCGTACACCACCCTACGACGGACAGACACACGGATTCAAACCTACCTACGTCCAGCTTACGCCGCCTTGGAAACGAAAATTTATACCCGGAACGACAGAAATTATACCTGAAACGACAGTCGACCAGCTCTCGCAAAGTGCACAGTGTTATTAACGACAGAGGATGTAATTTAAACAAGTCCGAGCAGTCCGAGCAGTCCAATTAACGAAAGTTTTCTGTTTTGAACGGGTTCCAAAGTAGTAGGTACTTTGTAGCAGTCTGGGAGAAAGGCAAGGAAAGTCGAGCAAGAGAGGAGTGCGCATGAAGAGGTAACCGGTACGTCGTCCAGGGGTGAAGGGGTCCTCGCATAGCAAGTGGGGCAGCAAAGAAGCAGAGTCTACCGAGACATAAGCAGATTCTCAAGAGTCGACCACGACGTTCACATGACGAGACCCTGAGGAACTTGAAGTGTGTTTCCAAAGCCGTTGCCGCCTGGCATAAACGTTTGGTATGAGTCAGCGCGGCGGAACGCGGAGCCTGGCAGGTCCGGAGACGACTGTGACCACTGGCTATTGCAGACAGGACGGCTGACGTAGCCAGCACGATCTCTGGAATGTGCGCATGGAGATTCAGCTGTGATATGGTAATAAGAACGTTACAAACCTTGACAAAGGATTGATTGATTGAGCAATATTATCAAAACTGGCCGAAGATTCCAAGGGTTTCGCAAAGGGGTCCGAATTTCTATTAGATTGGCCACCGTATACGCGAGACAGGCCGCCGACAGGGCCAGATGAGTAAGACGCTTGACCCTTCAAAGACATCGAGTCAGGACCAACAAACTGGAAAACGAAAGGGGGTGCGTTGGGATTTAGGTTCGACTTCAAGTCCGGACTTGAACGCATCGACGAGAACGTCGAGTATTCCGAGCCTCGATCCGAAGGGCAGGGAGATGGTGACATAAACTCAAGGCGAACAGGGTATCCAGCGTAGACCTGGTTTTCGAGAGCATCCTTGGCTTCTTGGGCGTTCGATACATTGTCAAACTGAACAACTACGGAGATAGTCGACTGCTGGCCCGGGGCAGCGGGGTCCAATATGTCAAGTTTCTTGATCTCTCCGAAGGGGCAGAAAAGAGGGTAAAGATCGACAGTCTGAGAGAAAAGCAGTGTAGGCAAATTGGAGACCAGTAGAGTTGCTGCTTGAGACGGCCGTGCGCCAAAGAACTGGGAGTCCGGTACAGAGAGATGATCAGCAACAGTCGGCACGAGACCGGAGTCGCAGATAGAATCGTCAGAGCCAGACATAGAAGAAGCAGACGGAGGACGAGGAGAAACCATCATGGCTCTGTCGCCGCCATCGAGGAAACCTGCCGACCAAGAACCTGTTGTAAGCGATAACCGGGTCCAACATTATCTGCTTACCTTGAGAACGCTGGACAACCGCCCAGGAGACGTCAATGCGGTAACCCCTGTTCACAGAAGTTAAAAGTCGGTCGGATTTGAGGGCATATCGCGTACTTAATTTCCGACCGCGAGAGCGCATTCAGCGCAGCTCTAGCTTCCATATGATTAGACATGACGACGAAACCCCGGCGTCGCGACGCGTTGTCCACTGTAGCAAGGATCACAGAATGCGACACCGTACCATATCGAGAGAAAATTGCCGTGAATTCGCCCCTGCCGTCCCCTATCAGCTTACGCAATATAATCGGTCGACCCAGACATACTTTGTGAGATCGAAGGGCAGGCCAAGAACATATAGGTTACGTCGATCGTCTGCTTGCCTCATCTGTCCATTGGAGCGATTGTTACTCGCTGGAGACAAGGATGTTACGGCCCTGACGCATACAGTCAGTCAAAGATGCATTGCGAGGAAGAAAGGGGAATATATGCGGGATATATGCGCCGTGCTTGGTCCCCCATGGCCTAGAATACGGACGGTAGCACTTACAGCGGAACACCAGCGACCGTATAACCTGACATGCACATGGCTTTTCTACTGTGTCATTAGCAAACACATATACACCCAGGATTGGATCTCCTTACTTGCAGGCGTCTCGAGTGTGGAAAGTGAGCACCATCGAGCGACCTTTCCCCTTGTCCAAGCTCTCTTCACAGTCGCGTACTTCTCCTTGAGAATGCATATAATCAAGATGTGAGGCGGGGAGAGAAGGGTATAGCTACACGTACCGACAAGGTTGCTGAACAGGCTGATGATCTCGTAACGGCTCACTAGCAATGATTTTACTTCAGCCAAGTCAGCGCCCGACGGTGCCAGCAACTCACCAGCTTGGGCAATATTTTGTATCTTGATTGAATGCGCTTCACGGGGAAACCTGAACACCGGTGGTCCGGACGCCATCATACGCTTCAACTAGAACAAGAATGGGAACAGAGAAAGGGGGGCTCGCAAGGATTATCTAGCAGAGAGCGTACGCTGGGGGGGATAGGGTAGAGAGCACTACAAGCATGCAAGGGTCAAGAAAGTCCAAGAACAAGAGAGTCCGGCGGGGAAAACGACGGGCTGGACGTCCTTTTTATGCAGTCACGAAATACGGAGCTTTCAGCGATTCTCACGCCACAGACGCGTCTAGAGCTCCGAGGAAGACCTGAGTTTGACATATGTTCTGCGTGCGCACCTCGTCACATCCGATATGTATATGTTGGCCGCGTCGAACGTGACTTCCGTACACTCTTCCATCTGAATATGGGCAAATTGGCAATCGAGTCGAGGTCGATTTCTGGGTGCAGCGCGTACGGGAATTCAGGTCGGGCGACGTGTACGGGGACTCGGGGAACGATCATTGGCTTCTGCAATTAGATAGAGACAGTGACAGGAATGGCAAACAGCAGAAAAGAACGTCCTGGGATTATTGAATACCATATTTTTCATGGACGCACGAAAATGACAGGGTACGGTGCACGGACCACACGTTGATCTACAGGGGCTTCATGGACGATTGGGGTGATTGCGAGTGTGACTCTTCATCGAAGAAAGTGATACCGTCCGTCTCGTAAATCTATCTGCTGCCATCTTGGCCGATGACGCCGTCGGGACTAACGATCAAATCCATCTTCCAATCATGGTCTGCAGTAGGCACTTGTCCGTCCTCGAGGACCTGCTCGCGCAAAGCCAGAGCCACTGCATACAAAGCATAAGCTTAAATCTACCTTTGACAAATATACCCTTACCTAGCAGTGGCCTTTGCCGCCCCGCAAGCAAAGTATACCTGGTGATAAATCGGTCGTAGTACCCTTTCCCATGCCCCAGGCGCGATAAGGACCTATCGAAGGCAACGCCTAGATAAAGAAGCAGGATGGTGTTATGGTTTGATCCTTACGCCTCAGGGTCGTGCGACTGCCTGAACTGACCTGGCAGGAGTATCATATCGAGGCCCTCGCATGCTTCATTCTCGGCTAAGCGCAGGTTGTGCCGGAAGCGTCCAAGTAAGTCGAACTACGGATGCAACATGTAATATCCCATGAAGAGGTGCTCACCACTCATCCGCCGATGTTCGCCCCAGGTGTGCTCCGGCTCTCGAATCCCCCATAGACCGCTAGGGAAGGGCTGGAGATCCTCCTCTCCATAGACTTTGAGGAACTCCATGCGTCCTTCGGTGGAGCGGTCGATCTTCGGGACGAACAATGACTTCCCTTGCAGACACCTCTAGGCATCCGTTCTCTACAGCATCGAGTCTCATAAGTCTCGTACCTGCTCGTAGGATCTCTGACACGAGGGGGGAAGTATCCACTTCGCCGGTGGGCATGCTGAGATAGCAGCTCACGGTCTTACTCTTTGCAAATGATGGTAAGCTCAAGACACGAGCAGCAATCGCATGAGCTAATAGTAGCTATCCCTAAGAACGTTGTCTTCATCTAGAACCGTGAAGAGTATTCACATTGTTCCTGTACGTCTGTCGGAGGTAACGAGCGCAGAGTCGCCGTCACGGACTTTCGCAGCGCCCGCTTATTCGCTTGCAATGCCGACATCGCAGCGCAGTGATATTGCGACGGAGATTTTCGTTAATGGGAAAGGACCTGAATGAAGCGTGATGTCAGCAGAGGACAGGCCATCGGGAAAGAACAAGTGAATCTAGTCCAATATCGGACCCACAACTCGTGGGAATTTGGCCACGTGTGCGGAGTGGCGATTGTGGCGCAGGTCAGTGAACTTTCATCCAGGACTCCAAGTTGGCGCCCTGTTATAACTAAGAACCTCTGCATATACAACACCGGTGAGGTGCGTGTTAACACTATCACAATAAAGCTCCTGTAACGAAGACTGTAGTAGTTAGCTTAACTTGTGATGCCCACATCCGCAAAGGTGACACTGACTTCGCTGTCATCCAGCGGGTAGATACGGCGCTCCGACTTGGTGGAATGTCCGGGGACCCTACATCTCCCGTATCCCCACTCGCCTCCTTCCCCCCAGACCCGCCACCCGAGCATCGCAGCCGCGCTCCGGAATTTTACGGCTTCGCTGTATTGACCTCCACCTATATCCTCTTCTGCATCTACCTTCTGTGGGCCCTTCTCCCCGACGAATACATCCTGTGGCTAGGTATCTCCTACTATCCAAGCCGGTGCGCGCTCCAGCCCCTCTGTGATATCCCAAGTCAATTCAATGCTAACCGCAATGCACTGCATCTAGAGAATGGGCAGTCCTTCTGCCGGCGTACTCCATCGTGCTCGTCCTTCTAACTTACTTCACCTATTTCGCGCTCGCGATAGCCGGCACGCCACGCTTTTCGGAGCAGTGCACGATAACGGGTGAGGTTAACCCTCCACCTCGCCCCTCCATACAATTTACGCTCTCGCTGACCTCCCACCCCTAGACTCCAAAGCGCACTATCCGGGCATGGACGCCCCAAATGCGTACATTCCCGCCAATCCGGGAGCCATACCGGACATGTACGACATTCCCATCGGCATGGTCAATCGTGCCCTACATGGTCCTCGGGGGCAGTACCGGCAAGATGCACGACAACATGCTTCATCCGGCCGCGCATCAGGCTAGAGATTGGAATAACGCGCGGGCTATCTCGTCCCGCCTCTGCTCTCTACTTTTGTGTAGAGGGCACTGCCGGCGAGGTTCCTGTCCTTTCTTCTTAAGGCGCTGCTGGACCTAGGTGCAGTCCCGTTTCGCACCCTCCCGAACCGTCGATGGATTTCATATCCCATGTCAATGACATGTGGCTCTTATCATACGCCATCTCCTATTGAACTCTGCTGCAACGTGCGGACCCGGATGGACGGGATCCAACCTTGTTGCTGCACCGCCTTCACGCTATTACCGGGGGAACCACGCACGCAAGCAAGCGACAATCAGGATATATTGATATATTCGCGCCAACTCTATGGGTTAGACAAAGGGTAAAGGGGGGAAATGCGTTGCGTATATACATGCACAACGAAACAAAGGCACGCACCAGAGGATAGATGGAGCGCAAGCAGAAAGCAGTGGGTATCGAGCAGGTATCAATGGGGCAGTCTGAAGAGCACGCAGTCGAAAGCGGAGCATACCATTACTTACGGAGCATAATACGATAATCAGGAAAGTTTAGATTCGTTCCGAAGAGCGAGCAGCCAAACTCAATGGACACCTGTGGGCGGCACGGGTGCCGGGCCAGGCAATCCCCGCCACTGCGGCACCGCAACCTATTCAGCCGCAGCTCACCAGCGGCCAGCAAGCAAGGGACATACCTGACTCGGGTGATACGGGTACGTCCCGATCTCGGCGTACGAATTCCGTTCCTCGTAGTCGTCGTCGAAGTTCCAGGGCGACAGCGAGGGCACGACGGCGGGCAGAGGTGCGGGGAGTATGGGCGATGGTGAGGGCGAGGGCGCCTCGTCGGTGTCGTCGTCCTCGACGGATGACTCGCGCTGCAGCACGGCGATGTTCGTGCGCGTCTGCAGGCTCATGGGTATCCATTTGAGTTTGTTGGGTATCTTCGTCATCTCGTGCGCGGTGGGGGATACCATGGGAGTCTCGAAGCCGACGGTGAATTTCGAGGCTGGCCTGCTGGAAGGTTCAGAGGTGGGAATGATCCCGTGCGTCCGTAGGTGCCGCTTTGCATTCGAGCGCACCGCGAAGCTCTTGTTGCAATTGGGGACAGTGCATTTGTACGCTGAGCATTGGAGAGGAATCAGGACGGGGACAGCAGGGTAATTACCGCGGGTACTTACGCTTCTCCCCGGAGTGGGAATTCATGTGAGTTTTGAGACCGCTGGGTCGAGGGAACCACTTCTTGCAGACACCACACTGATGCATCTTCGATTTTTTCTTGGAAGGGGACCGCCGCTGCGACGAGCTAGCTGACGTTAAGCCCGACAGAGACGATCCGCTGAAAGAGCGGCCGAGTGTCGAGCTCGATACGGGCGACTCGGGGTCAAACTGAGATGGACCCGGGCTCATAGAGCCGTCTCCGAGCGACTGGTCGGAATCTGTGGACGTCAGGCCGCTTCCTACCAGTGTCAAGGACGACTGTGACCACTGTCTGTCCATAGCCTGGTCGGAGCCGAACGACGCTAAGTCCGTATCCAGGTACGAGGCGTCGTCGAGTGCGCCCCACCGCCCGAAGTAGTCTTCCTCCTCTTCGTCGTCGTCAGAATCCTCGGCGAAGTTGAAGATGCGCGCGACGTCGGACTGGCCCTCGGGGTCTTGGATTTCTTCCAGAGACTGGGCGTTGAGCTGGAGGGTGAGCAAGACCGGGTGCAGCTGCTCGGTGTGTGGGGTCGAAGGAGTCGAGCGCTGTGGGGCTGTGGCGTCAACTGTGAATTGGCCCATCATGGAGCGAATCTCCGATGTTGCGTGCGGGAAGCATGATTGGTATAGGCTGAGGAGCAGCTCGGAGTCGGGTCTCGATGACACACGCCCTGCTGGATAGTGACGAGCAGCGTCCTCGTCAATGAAAGGACTGGGATGGAAGTCCAGTTGAGAACCACCGTCGTCCTCGCCCCCTTCCCGCCAGTCCTGCATGGCAAAACGGCTCGCCATCGACTCACTGCTCAGAGAGTCGTACATAGCAAAGGGCGTCTCCGGAAGCAGCGTCCGCTGCGAAGACTCGGGAAAGGCGAATGACTGCAGTTCGTCCGAACGCACTCTGTCAAACGCGTCCGCCTGCATGTCGCCGAAAATGTCGACCGAGTGTTGCGCAGGGTAGGTAGACTGCAGGTAGGAGTCGGTGGGGAACGCCGGGCTGGACTTGGATACGGAGATGGCTGCAGCCGGAGTCGAACAAAGGAGTCGGGGGGACATATACGGCTTGTGGCCGAGCGCAAAGGACGAAATGGTATGCGAATGCTCATCTGACCGGGCGTCCGAGCCCTGGGGCCCGGCTCGCCTTCCCATGGCGCTGAGGGGATTCACGGCGATGGCAGTGGTCGAGTAGTGGTCCATGACGGGCTGGGCGTGGTCCGTGCGGTGGCGACAAGGATAGACGGCGTCAGGGCTGCTGCTGCTGGCCAGGACCCGTGTTTATAGCACCGCACGGTGGTAGTAGCAGCAATAGACAGGAACTGGCGCACTTGAATCGAGTGTCAAGTATAACGTGGAGCGCTGACTGAACGCCATGAGGAAGTGGCAGATCAGATATGGAAACAGTAATTATCGGTTGGTGGCGACAGCAGCAGAAGGTGCGGCCTGTTTCCCTCGGCTTGATGTCGAGAACCCGGTCCCATCCCATAAACGCGCATGCCACGAACGAGGAAAGAAATCCAAATCCCCCGTTTGTGCGCGCAGGGCCACCTGACCGGAGATTGCACATCTTCTGGAGAACGGCGACGGCGTGCGGGATCGTATCGATAAGCTCAGACCAGCCAAACCTGTCCCAAAACTCTCTTTCTTCCCCTGTCGCTGAAACGTTGCAGTGCAGGAATTAGAAGGTATTTGCGACTCTAATGAAATGGGAACTTGCACCTACGATCCGGAATGGAAGGCCTTTTCCAACTCAGCGAGCCTCGTCCGGCTCCCAGTCCGTTCCGCGCGAGGCAGGTCTGCCCCGCCACCCAGGCCACAAGATTTGCTTCCGTGGCCCCTCTGGTTAAGAATTGTTTAGAGTTCGCTCAGACTCAGATTCGCAGCTTTCACGAGCCAGCGCCTCTATTGATCCGGCTTCCACGCCCTAGATACTCGCCAATTGCAACCAACTCGACAAGGCGTGGCTGGAATAAGAACGACGGTTAAACATTACCGACAAGGTTCGCACAACCTATTCATACGCCACCCAATGGCCTATTTCTCAGTCATCAATACCCATCAACACTGGACAGATCCATCCCGCTGATAGTTCATGTTACGCGGAGACTCCCTGGCCTGCCAGCGCGGCCGATCCTGCCTGCATCTACGGCACCTCTAACCCAAGTCCCCCATGCAACTCATGTGGCGGGTCCTAAGACACCTCTACCTGCCCTTGCTTCAACCAAGATCCGTTCTACAATACCTGCGCTGTCAGAAGCCCTGTCATCTGCCACGTTAACGACATTGACCGCGACCAAGTTCGAACCCGCGCACAACTGCCCACCGCTTCGAATTTCGATATCATTATCTCGACAGCCATGGACCGCCACGTCCAGGGGGAACTTTATCTCGATGCGATTCTGATCAGAATAGACCGGCACGTCCCCAGTCTCACCGGACCCGCAGGTCCACATATACGCACGGGAAAATGTGTCCACAACCGACCTTGCATCCTCTGCCACCATAATCTTGAAATAAGTAAGGCAGAATGTTCCAAAGCCACCTCACTACGGCCCGGGACGCGAAATGAAGCCGTTTTGACGAACTTTCGTCAGACGTCCGCCGAACGTCCACGAAAGAGAACCCAAGTACGTGTGGATCGTACCACGTACGCTGTTGACGTTGGTATAACGTACCCAACGCTGTGAGGCGCCCTTATCTTCGCGGGATGACGGAGAACAGTCGGTCCCTGGTCCAAATGCGCTCACCTTAACACCCGTTCTGCGCCCATTCTTTGTCGAGATAGCGTGCTCCATTTGACCTGTAGACGCATGTGTGCGGCAAAGTGTCTGACAAAGTGCCGCGACCGACCGATCCATCACATATAAGGCGAATAATACAAAAAGGGGATAAAAGCGTGCGGATTAGCGTGATAACGGAATCGCCCAAAGGCAGCCGGAAAAGGGTCGTCATCCGGATTAAGCCATTGGCCACCGAGGAAACTCCTCGAGCAAACCTAGGAGATACTCTACCAAGAATTCCCACCGACTCACGCTACGTCGGGCAGGATGCGCAAATCAAGGGGTACGTGCCAGTGCCACATGCACATTACGCGGCTGCGGCGGGACGCCCGTCCTTCCTCGCTAGCCTGAACTCAGCAAGTCGGCCCCGGGCTCGAGAAATAACCTCACTGAGGGGCAGTTCTGGCGCAGACGTCGCCTCCGGGCTTCCTGGCAACGCGGGAGCATCGAAGTCCGGCGCGGGAGCCCGCCTCACCTCCTGGAACGCGAGGCTCTTCCTGCTGGGCTGTCCGGTCCGGTACTCTGATGCCCTCGCTGCAGAGGTGGACTCCACGCGCGACTGCGCGGGTCGGGTTGCTGCGCTGGACTTGGATTTCTTGCGCTGCACCGTTTTGCCGTCCGGAGTGATCGTGGTTTCCGCCCTTCTCAGACAGGCCTATCAGCGATATGTCAGTGAGCAGCTGATGATTTTGGGTAGAAAGGGACTGTACTCGTTGTTTGCCTGCACTCTTCTCGGCCGAGGGCCCGCAAGCCCATCTTTGCCACCAGCCATTGGCGACAATTTCGTGTCTGATCTTGTTCGCTCTCGCGACTTCCTCCTGCATGTCGAGGTCAAAGTCCAGTTCTACATCATCAGTTCCCAACAGTCCATATCCCGAGTCGTCTGAGGTAACTGGGACAGATGTTGATGCAGAACTAGTGCTGCTGAATGAATTCTCCGGTGGGATCTCTTGACCCTCGGCATCGCTGGTCAAATCGTCCTCGTCATCCCCAAATGCATCACGTAAGTCGACACCCCCCAGGCTGACTTCTACAAGGTCCGATGCCATGGATGATGAGGCCGGCCTGACGTCCTTGACGTTTTGATGTCGTGCGGGCGAACCACTGGGCCGGAGAAGGGGTGAGTGCGAACGCCCTGCGATGGGACTAGAGATTGCATCAGTAGCAAAGAAGTCATCCTCTGCCACGTTCCTGCGATACCCCGCCGGCGGTTTGGGGGGCGACGACAGGTCGGGCGTGTCCCACCGGATGGAATGAGAAGGGGAAATATACCCGTCTTCCTGCGCCACATTGCTCTCTTCCTCGACTTCCTCCTCGATATCACCGCCCTCCTCTCCAAAAGCGAACTCCTCTTCAGAGATGTATTCGTCCTCGAGAGAGATATTCTCCTTCTGCCCCTCGTCTGGCCCAAGCCTAGAGGGCCCAGCGACGCCCTCGGCAGTCCAGGCGGTCGTTGTGGACGCGGATCTGTCGAAGAAACGACTCCGGTTACTTAATTTTTTCGTTTCTGTCGACGAAATATCGGAGATGAAATCTTCCTCCCGCTTCTTCTTTCTTTGGCCTTCCATCTCCAGATCCATCACCTCTACCAAGGTCCTCTTACCGCTTGCGCGACCGACGATCATTGCACTGCTTTTACCGCGTGAGGGGCCCTTCTTCCACGGGGCCGGCGCCTCTTTGGACCTCAAAGCTAGATAAAGTTTGGCACCAGTGCCTGATGTTAGTAGTATGGTCTAAGATGTTGAATTCTATGCACCGCACCGAAATAGTTGAGCAGGCCTCCGTTTCCTCCCGTAGTTGTCTTTTGCTCGGCCTTCCTCTCCTTGCTGTTGGAGCAGTTGGCGCGTGCTGGAGCGAGAGGAGCTCGCTTAGAAGTTCGAGGTGCGAAATCTGGATTGATGTCCTTGATCCTCTGGAGGGTTATGGGACATACGGCTCCTTCAGCGATTTGTTTCGCTAGAGCTTGAGGCAAGTCGCTGCCAGAGAATTGATGGCAGACAGATCAATGAAATATTCGCCACTCGAAGCAATAGCACTAACCAGCCAACATAGCTATCCACCTCTTCATCTAGCTCTTCGCCTTCGGGAACCTCGGTTAGGCACACGAGTTTTCCCTCGAAAGGATCCCAGACCCTTTGGTAGAAGAATGCTTTTTCAGCCAAGCGGAACATCTTAATGTAATCCTTCGGCACATTCTTCTTTCCTTCGAACCTCACGGCCTTCACCACGTTTTCCACAGTCTTGTGGGTTCTGAGCAGGGTATAGGCAGTCTTCAACCCGATGCCTGGTATAGAGGGCAGGTAATCGCATCCGCTCAGCATGCACATTTGGCGGAACTGAGACGGCGTGAATGTCTGCAACGAAATGCCACTGCCGTTCGAGCCGTCCACAGAAGCAAAGTCGCTCTGAGAAATACATGTGACCGTCGCGGAAACCGCATCGAGCTTGAACAATACAGTCTTACATCCGAAGACCAAGAGATCAGAATCTTCCGTGATGATTCCATCGACGACGCCCTTGCGCTCTAGATACGCTAGCTGCGCATCGGCTTCGTAGGGCGCGACGATGTACGGAATCCCTTCTGCCTTCAACGCCTGAATTCCCACGTAGGCCATTGTGACGATGAGTAAACGTATAAGCACGCCGTGGATCCAAAACAGGCTTGCCTTGATTAACTGGAATGCCATCTCTGTACCCACGTCCACAGCCTTGACGAAATAATCCCTCGCTTCCTTGAGTTTGCCTTGCTTCGCAAGGTCTTTGCCTTTTGCGAGACTATCTTCCCTTCGCTGTTTCCTTGCTTTTTCAGTAGGTGCCTTGGCTGGAAGTGGACCTCCATCAAATACAATGAACGGTTGAATACTATGGTGCAAGAGCAGCCGGACTCGGTGCATCGCATAATCCACATATCTAGGAGTGTAGTCCACGTGAGCACCCCTGGTAGGCAAGCAAACAGACAAAAAGCAAGGACGCGTGTTACTTACCTGGTTGTTTTCTTTCCTAGTGCAAGGTCTGTGGCACATGCATATACTCCGCGGTGTAGCCATACGTATGCATCAACTGCAAGTGTTTGCCCTGCAAACTCAGACAGGTGCCTCTGAGTCTGAATGGGCTTCAGGAGAGGCAATAGCCCTGAGATACCCATACTTCACAGAGTCCAAGTCGGCCCAAATCAGACCCCTCTGGGGTTCCAGGTGACGCGGACAAGGACTTCTTCGATTAAGAGCAGTTGAGAACTAGTCCTGCTGCAGTAAATCAGATATAAAGGTCGGGGATACAGACGAAGCCAGACAACCAGTACGACAGACAAGGGTACACGGTCGCTGGCCGTCCAGAGTGCCACTGCGTCGCGGTGAACGGATTCGGGAGCAAAACGCGTCAACGCGCCTGTGGCGTGAGAAGAAGTGCGACCATTTATGGCACGCGATAGTCGCGTCCTTGATTGCAAGTCCGTTCGCGTCAACGTCTGTCTCTTGAGTCTCTTAGCTACGGGTAAAGAGAGTACTTCTTCCTGCTAACGTTGCAACATTATTCTAGTATGCTTCTCTCTTTTTGCCGTATATCTCTGCCTTGAATCTACTGTTTCTCGTTAAACTCAGGTCCGGCTGGTGTTATCTGACAATAACATCGGTCTTTGTCCGCCCATTGGCGGGCCAAACTGGAAGTATTTCATTACTGGTTTCGAGCGGTTATTTATACACAACATGGCCAACACGACGTATCAACAGATACGGTCACTTCCTCCGGAGTGCCGATGCTGCTTTCATGTGCTATTTTGCACTTATCGACTTGCAAATCCCGGAGACTTCAGCTTCTGCTCGCCGTGATCATATCCCCGTTAGGTGGGGGCGGGACGGTCGGCCACATGTGTAAGTATCTATCATGAAAGCTTGCGTCGTGTTTAGTTTAACTTGCTCATCATTGCGAGGGCACACAGGTTGGGTCAGAATTGCCCTGATTCCTGATCGCCGCTGCTCGCCCCAAACCGGAAACTCTCTGGACGTTTCTAATCTCTGCTGTAAAGAGCAAGACTGCGCCAATCCTTGGTCTTTTAAGGTGCGAAAGATGCCAACGGCCCGTTCTCATGCTTGTCGTGCCTTGTTTACTGATTTCGTACAGATAAGATGTCATTAGAGACTCGATCTTTCCACGTCGCGTGTCCTTGTGGTAAGGTCATGTCGTCTTCCTCCCGCGTTCAGCTTCCCTTGCCAGGCAATTGCGAAGATTATCACGCGGAAAACCTAAGGGACTGTCATTCTGACTCGCTGTATCGTCATTCAAACGGGTGCCTACTCTCCTTATTTGTGACGTAGTATCCTCACTCGTGGATTCTCAGGTTCGAGGGACTAGCATCATAATACCCTTTATTACAGTAGTCGGCCCAACAAGCCCCCCAGCTCTTATCGCGGCCACATCGGGAACAACCTGCAAACTGGGGTATCCCAGTGGCATGCCCTGTTGGCCCTTTCGGCAAGCGCAGCACCCGATGCTGAGCCTTCAGATTTTATCTTCCCACTAGAGTTCACTTCTGGGTCGGCTACTGAATATACGAAGCCGTTGCAATCAATCAGAGTTGAGATACAGCGGCGACCCTAATCACAACTTTCTCGGGAAATCGCGAGTCGCAAGCTTGACAAAGCGACGAATCGCATGTCTAGGATTGTCTTCCCGCCTGGCCACATGATGTGAGCCGACTCCGGAGGGACACGAGATGCTCGAGCTTGTGTTCGGAGAGCAGCTCCACAATCGCCCGCTTAGCGGTGGGTATATGGAAGAGTTACTACGGTACAGGTGGCTTGGCATCGGCCCGTTACTCCGTTCCTCCCCAAGTCCGCTGGGTGAGTAGGACGAGGACGTGCAGACTTTCTGGCCGCAGTAAGAACTTCCTTCATCAGGGCTGGACAGGTTCAGTGGGCCCCATGTGCCATTCTGCTCAACACCAGATCGCCCACAGTACTACGCAGCAGAGTAGAAGACATAAATAAACAAATACGTAACATGTGCAGACAGGCCGTCTTCAGCGTACTACTTTGCCATCCGGACGCTTTGTCACCCCCTGCAATATACCTGGTCCTGTTATACAACAGCAGGTGCTCGCATAATCCCTCCTTCCTAGAATTAACCTGGAGTTATATTGATAGAACACTTGGATATATTCTGCTCGCCTACCAATTCATACGCCGCCTCAGGCGGTCGATCCTTCCGTGGTGCGTACGTCGGGGAAGCAAGTAGCCGCAAGACACTGGAAGCATTCACGGTCGCAGTGAGCGGCGTCCTCGGACCATCATAAATGCTTACATACCCTGACGTGCGCGATTGTGGTGCAATCAATAATCTGTACGTCCTGCCAGGAGGCAGATAGGCGTTCCCTGAGAGCAGAAAGAACGGGAAACTCCGTGAGCACGTATACATACGCAAGCTTGACAACCTCCGAGGACCTAGGGAGGGCATCATGATGCCTCTTGCTCCGTTATCAAAGTTGCCGCTAGTTCCGTCCTGTTTGATGAGTTTGGTGGCAAGCTGCGTCGTTATCACTACCTGGAGGACCGGAAGGTTGGCTGTATTCAAAGGCGGGAAAGCAGTGGAAATACGCACTGACAAATTCCTCGCGGCACAGTTTCTCGCGAGGACCGGCTTTATGCGCTCGAGGATATGTTGTCTTGTAGAAGACGAAAGATCCGACGCCGATTGGAAGGGAAACGAGAGGGAGTTAAGGACCAGGAGCGATGGCTAGGCAATGTCAATATCTCAGAAACCTAGAGCTGACTGTACTGGCGACTGTACTTTTGGCTCTTCATCAAGATACGTAGGCAAGTTGTGCATAAAGATCATGAGGTCGGGGAGAGTGTATATATTCAGGTAGCGAACTTGTTTTTCGTACGATACGTCGTCCGAGTCCTCGTCTTGTCAAATAGCTCAGTCAAGAATAATGATTTGTTTGAAAACAACTCGCCTTCCAATGCTCTGCTCAAGATGGCAGGCATCACCATATTTTGCATATCTGTCCGAACCATTCAAGTCACGAATACGTCAGAGACAGATAGTCACGCGTCAAAGGGAGCCCTGACCCACAAATAGTACATTTCCGCCGTCTTTCACGACAGTCTTCGTGATGTCTATGGCCAGCCTTTCTTTTGGACTGCCCGGAGGACCGGATAATTCAACAATATACCCCTGCCGGAGACCGCCTCCAAGAATCTCGTCTACTGGAGATTTTCCGAACATAATACGGTTCGACTGAGCTAATATCGAGGCAGCAGATCGAGTCAAAGGGAGCATCATCTTGCCCTGCGATGCTGTGACACTCAATTCCGGAGTTCCTTGGGACGTGGAACAGTCAATGGGTATACAGAAGGCCTCAAGGCGTAGCCCACCTGACATAACTACTCCTCCTCCAGAGCAAGTGTCTGCCTGGAATTTGAGCGTACTAATACGCTAGTAGCACGGGCTAAGATATCACTTATAATCTCCCTTCGGCTACAGACCTTTTAATGAGATGTCAGAAGCTTCACCTTTACAACAAAAGATGAACAGTATTCACAATTTGCACATCACGAACAGCGCACACCACAGCCGTTTCGTGGCAATCAGATTTGTACGCGAGGAGACGCGTGTCGAGCACGGTGTGTCACGCAGCACGTGACCTTTTTTGTCACCTTACATAACTCCGCGCACCACAGTGACGCTTGTCTGTGGCGCAAACTTGGGCCAGGAATTGGGGAGGCGCAACGCCCGGTTCCGGTGCGAGTTGATTTGTCAGCAGATTGTGGCTGAAAGGTGGTCGCAAGTATCCCCTCGTATTCTTGTGCATTCCTCTGCTCCATTCTCACCTTATGCATGCATCAGCAATGTATATCACTATTGTAAACCAGCAAGAAGGGTATTCTGCCATTACAGACTGTAGTAGTTATAAACATGTCTGTCTCTTCTTATTCCTGAGCTGACCACCATCGGGATGAAATGATGGTCAATTTCACCGAGGTCGGCAAAGGTGTGCTTAGGGAAGTTATGTATTGTCTTTAGAAACATTTGGAACATATCTATGTGCACACCAGTGGGTGCATTCCCTATCCTTGATACAAATGAGCTTGATTTCCAGGAAGCACCAATCTGTGTAATTAATGGACAAGGCAAGTACTGGATCACAGCTGTAAAAGGATGAATATATATCTCATGTACTATGTTGATTTTACAGTTCTAACATAGGGGAAGGGACCTGCTTCTGCTGCGGCAGGAGAGCCCAGACAGTGACCAGGATATTTGGTGTGACACTTTTTGCGATGGTGTCACAACTTGTCACGTCGGCGACGCGTTCGGACGCGTCGTTAATTGCTCTTTACTGCCAGAAAACCTCAGAAAGTCGACCCCACTGGGAGGTCACACCGCCGAACGCGTTCGCGAACTGCAAATGCGAACGTGAGAACCACACCACGGTGCACGTGGGCGCGTGTCGATTCTGTGGCTCTGTCCACCGGCTACAGACGCGTACCCCTTCTGCTTATGATAAAATCTGCATAGCCTGATGGTTTTAACTTGTAAGTTTATTGTATCAGTCTGTGTGATTGAAATTGCTGGGTTATTGTAAAAAAAATGTGGTGAGTAATCGAAGCTGTCTGTCCAATTGGGGTCACACGAACCCATTGAAGCCCCTTCCGTGCCCTCCCCCTAACAGTTTCCATGGTCAATACTACTGGCATTGCATTGAAAATGTGATGGACAACTTGAAATTCATGGAAACTACTCTATTCACGTCATCAATATCCCTGGTATGGTACAATAATATGTGCATAACAAACTGTATTTTATGGATTGAAAGCATAGCCGCCATTGCCTTTCTCGCTCAATAACAGTTGC